GAACCTACGTAACTGAATGAATCTGAGTTTTTCTTTGTTGAGTTCATAGTACAGATTCCCCAGTATTAACCTCACTTTGTTGAGTTCATAGTACAGATTCCCCAGTATTAACCTCACCTTTACATATTAGACTGTGAAAATCTCAATATTTTCTTTTTTCCTTTCCATTATTATTATTATTATCGTTATTATTTTGCAGTTTTTGGCCGGTGCTGGGTTTGAACCCGCCACCTCCGGCATATGGGGCCGGTGCCTTACTCCTTAGCCACAGATGCCACCCAAACCTCGATATTTTCTAATAAAATTACTGACAATATTTATGTGTTTCTAATATGAAGAACAGAGATTACAGATCCCAAAAGTTAGAATAATAAAACTTCAGATTTCATAGAAGGAACAACTTAGAGATATTAGGTCATTCTTTTAGAGCTTTGAAGTAAGAGTTAAGCAAAGCATGAATTTCTGAATCTTAGCCTGGGACACTCTTAGTTCAGTTGTACTCTCTCACTGATAACCTGTTCGGTTTTATGGTGACATTCTTTGTTTTATATCTTGGAGAGCCAATGAATATATAAGATGTATTGAGTGTCTACTGATTGCCTGCTATGAATTTAATAGTGTTTGAGATGCTGGGAATACAAAGATTAAGAGACTCAGTAGAAAAATTCAACACATACAAAGCTCTAAAAGGGTAAGGAACATATTAACTTTTTGGAGAAAGAGAAAGTCAATATCCAACGCAAAATAAGTGCAAGGTAGAAAGTTAGAAGATGTCAGAGACAAGTGTGAGGAACTCTGTAGGACATAAGAATCCAATGTTTCAAATAGCTATTTCCCTCCACAATGATAGGACGTGAGAACAGCAGTTACATTTATCCCACACTAAACATACACAGTGAAAAAGGCTATATGATATTTGACTTCTAGTCTTAAGCATGAATATAGGTAAGGACTTTAATCTTTATATGGTTATATTTTCTCCTTTTAACATTATGAGATTGGGCTAGATAACATCACATATGTTGCTCCCACATCCCTAAGCCACGAAGGCTTTCTCCATAAACAGAAAGAAAATTAAAGCCTGGGAGTATAGAAATAGCTTTTCTTGATCAAGCTGAATTAATGAAATAAAATGTCTGCTCATAAAGGCAATCATGGATTTGGTCTAGAACTAAAAATAAAACAACTCATTATTGAGATATTTAAGGATGGGGGAGTAAGAATTCAGGTCTACTCCATGTTATTTTTTGAATTATGTTTCACCATTTCATAGGAAATCAAAGTGCCTAGTCTAGGAATAAAAGAAAGCAGATTAGCCTCTACTGAGTAAACTAGAGAGGTAAGACTTAGAATGAAAAGTATGGTTCTCTTAAAATCAGAGAACACACATTAAATTCAGTGGATTGTTACAAACTTTTGAAAATACTATATAAAGAAGCAATGCAAATACAGACAAACAAAATATCAGATTATTCCACCAGGCACATGCAAAGAGAAACAGACTTTAATTATTTAAAAGCTTTATATGCACTTTATAAGAAAAAAATTTATATAAACTTTATAATAAAAATTTTATCTTAAAGTAAAAAGCAAAATGTAATATTGCAAAGAAATTTCTCAATATTTCAGGGAATAGAAAACATATTGAGTTTGAAACTCTGTCATTTTTGAGATGGTCTTGGGATCGGGCACAATATTAACTTTAGCCATATGCCGATCCCCTCATATTCCAAAAATATTCAATTACTCAGTCATTAATTCTTAACTTCATGAAACAAAATTCTAACATTTCATGCCTTCATAATTTAGTTTAACATTTTTATTCTGTCAACGTACAAATTCCAAAAGGACAAATAACAAGGTGCATGATTGGCATAAATAATTTCCCTAGTGTAAATGAATTTTCAGTATTATGTTAAAACGGCAGATTTGATCAAAGGTGGACAAATCTGTTGAGCTGAAAGGGGAGATAAGTTTAGAAGGTGATGTTTGAGTATGGATGGTCACCACAAGAATTACAGCAATAGAGAAGCTATCAGAGAAAACAAAAATAAAGTTCTGACTACATACATATTAACACCAAAATTACAATAAATTTTATGATCAGGCATGTTGTTTCATTGACAACCTTTATTCCTATTCTTACATTCAATAAAGTTTGCTTTGAACCCAGTCTCCTAACTGTTCCCACTATGACAGGACAGAAATAAAAACAAATATTAAAAATAAAATATTAATTCTAAAAGGCCCCCTACATCCAACTTACCAGATTTTTGAGGTGGAGATGAACATCCTGAAGGGGAAGTCCTCACAGTTTTGATGTCTGCATAGACTATATCTCCAGCCATGTTACAGAAGAGAAAAAGAGAGAAGCCCACAAATTATCTTCTGCTAAAAGGAGAAGTTTCTTAACTTCCGTAATTTAAGTACATGGAGATGTCATATTTCCTTTTGTTTCCAAAGTGGTGGACTTATTCTACAAATACATAACAAAGCAGTGTATTTTGTTTTATCCATCAAAATAACAGATTTTTGAATACTTGCATGATATAGAAGAAAATCACTATTTAGGAGTAAATTCTTATGTTCATTTTCTGACTAAATTTGGAATAAGTTTAACTTTTACTTATACCATAGAAGATATTTCACAATTTTCTTCTAGGAACCACTTTCTCTCAGTTCAAGAATATATATATATATACACATATATATTTGTGGGGGGTTTTGTTTTGTGTTTTTGAGACAGAGCCTCAAGCTGCTGCCCTGGGTAGAGTGCTGTAGCATCATAGCTCACAGCAACCTCAAAATCCTGGGCTCAAGTGATTCTCCTGCCTCCACCTCCCAAGTAGCTGGGACTACAGGCCCCTGCCACAAAGCCCAGCTATTTTTTGGTTGCAGCCATAGTTGTTGTTTGGTGGGCCCGGGGCTGGACTGGAACCCACCAGCTCAGGTGTATGTGGCTGGCGCCTTAGCTGCTTGAGCCACAGGTGCTGAGCCTCAAGAATGTATTTTCTGGTAGAATTCTGAGATAGCATCTCCTCTGACATGGAATAGGAGCTAGCTAAGGGGAACAAGGAAACGGAGGGATTTTACTATGAAAGTGATTGAAAGTGGCACTCTTTCTTTTATCCTCATCTCAAAATGCATTATATTTATCTAGATAATAGTTTTTAAATTATCTTAAAGCTACTTATTCTTTCAAATGCTTTATAACACTAGCATCAAATTGAAGTGAAATATGAGTTGTGCAGATGAATTCCAAACTGAAAAGTTATATTTAAGGATTGGCTATACCCCCATGTCAGAACGGTTTAAGGTAATGACATAAATCTATACTAAACATACGTTTTTACCTCCTATTTCTTCTAAAATTTCATTAAATGATGAAAACTTACACATCTAAAACAATAAGACAAAAGCAAGTAGAGTTCTATTAGTTGATGAAAAATTTCAACAGATTCCTGGAAGAATGGGGGTAGATGGAGATGGAATAATTGATGCAGCAAAACAGAAAAAATGAACCCTAAAACACACAGAGGGAAATAACTGAGAACAGCCCAGTCACGTGTTGAACAGGACTCAGAACTCAGAAGTATCAGATATTAAAAAATGGCAGAAGCCATTAGCTTATCATCAGTACATTAACCAGGATTCTGCATGTGAAAGAACTAATTTTCTTAATACCTTCTTGAATGTATTGTATAAATTATCACAAGTGACATCACCCTTTACCACTTCCCAAAATCCAAGTGATGTAATCTATATAATCAAATAGCTAGGGAGCAAATGGTGACCTGTGGCACTTAGGAGATCCTTCAGTATCATGGCTATTTCTGACCCTGGATGGATCACTGACAGATCTTGAACTCTGTCAAGACTGCCTTGACAGTCCCTCTTTTCTGGGCTATTCTGGTACTTTGTGTGTGTACAGGCAGAATAGCTGCTGCATTCTGATCTGCATGTTGTACATGAAAAACTGGCTTTTATTGCTTATTTTATCTACAGGTTATTGCATAATCAGTAAAAATTTAAGAGTGATAATTCAAACTCATGTCAAACCAAGTTCAAAGTCTATGCCATAATTCATTAATGCTTTCTAGATTTTCAGTGTAAGAATCAAATATTATTGTTCCTGTTATTTCCATCACTCAGTTTCTACCTGAAATATAGACCTCCAGGAATTACGTGCTGAATTACCAAATCACTTATGAATTTTATTACTGAATTGTAAATTTTTCCAGAATAAGAACAATGATTTTTGACTACAAGATGAACTTTTATTGATATGAAAAACACATTCATAAGAGACTAAAACAATTGCAAGAATGTGGAGTGCTAAAAAGTCAGAATAAACATGTAAATTTCTGCAAAAAAAAAACTTGGTGGCTGGGTTTTGGGTAGGACGTATTGTATCTGCAAATCAACTTAGGAAATGTTGCAATCTGATTAATATTAAATCCTCCAATCTATCAAAACAGAATCTTTCCTTTATTCATGTCTTCTTTGATTTATTTCTGTGGCATTTTGCATTTTCAGGGCACAACTCTTATACTTTCGTTATTAAACTTATTCTTAAGTACTTTATTCTTTTTGATGACATTGTAAATGAAATTTTTTTCTAAATTTCATTTTTGGATTGTTCATTGCTCGCATATAAAAATATAATAGGTGAAGCAAGATAGCAGACTAGAGACATCTCCTTAGCAGGCACTTGCAGTGAGACAGGGCAGAGAGGACTGTAGCCACTTTTCACTGGGGGATCCTGCCCAGAAACTTCACTCTGGGGCACAGAGAAGCAGGGTGGACTCCAGGAGCCAACAAGAAGGTCAGTGGCTGAGGAAGACCAGTACAGAAGGCAAGTGACTGGGACTGGGAGCCAGCAGAGGCTGACCAGTCCTCCAGCAGAGGGCTAGAGAAAGGAAAGACCTGTCCTGCAGTTTTCCTTTTGGACTGGGCTGCTTGCTGGAGCTGCGTTGGAAGGGCTTAAGTGAGTAAGCAAACTAGAACAGTGTCTGCAGCCAAGATTGAATCACCAGGTGTGGAGGAACTCTCATCCACTTGGCTATATGCCTCCCTCCATTGTGGGAGGACCACCTGGGAGGAATTGTCCTCAGGGTCCTTGTGCACAGCCAACTCTGGTGCACTTGCTGAGCTGAGGCAGTCATCATTGGGGTGAGTTGAAAGTCTCCTGCACCCCCCGTAAAAGCCACTTTGTGGCTAGGAGGCACTGTTTGTAAGGTCAAGTTGTGCCTTCTAAGAAATTTGGCCAGAGCTTCAGGATAGCAATACTATGGGGGGACTGAATGCTAGTGAAATGACCAAGCCCTGACTGAGGGCAAGTGAGTAAATCAGGGAACAGGACCGGAGATCATTATGATCTTGAACCCACCTATTTGTACGCACATGTTGAAAGTGATTTCCCAATTTGTACTTTTGTAATTTTTTTAGTTTTATTCAGGTTATTTTTATTTTATTTATTTATTTATATTTTGCAGGGTTTTTTGTTTGTTTGTTTGTTTTTGTCTGCGGCCAGGTTTAAATCTGCCATCTCCAGTCTATAGGGTCGGCCCTACTCCTCTGAGCCACAGGCGCAGATTATTTAATGAGTAATGACAAACAAGTATGCAAACACAATTTAACCATACTCATCAATGAAAACACTTATATTTTTTCCCAGTGTATTTCAGAAAGTGTTCTTTTTAACTTTACAATTTTCATATTGCTAACTCAAGTTATTTGCTAATTTGAGTATCTAGAACAAAAATAGTTGGAGGATTGGAATAGTGAGGAGGAGGTAGAGCAAGATGGCAGACTAGAGACAACTCCTTTGTAGCCACATGGTAAGATCAGGAAGAAAGGACTTCAGGCACCTCTGGTTGAGGGGCCTTGCCCAGAAACATCACTTTGGGGGCACAGGGAGGCAGCAGGAGACTCCAGGAGTCAATGGGGACAGAGGAGATCAGGAGCAGTATAGAATCAGCAGAAGGGCAAATGCTTGCTGGCCAGCAAAGGCCAGCCAGCACAGTGGTGTTTTTCAGATACAGAGGGCCTGCCCTGAAGGCTTTCTTTACCTTTTTTTTTTTTTTGGACCTGGACACTTGGCAGGACTCACCTGGGAAGACTTTGGGTGAGCAAGCAAGTGAGCTTGAAGAGTGCCCAGGGGCCAAGACTGAGCCATCAGGCTGAGTGGAGCTCTCATTGTTCTACTGCTGGCCGGGCACAGCCATTGTGGGAGAGCTGCCTTGCAAGATCAGTCCACAGGATCCTAGTGTGAGTCCAGTTCTGGCATGTCTGCTGAGCTAGGCAGCCAGCTATGGGAAGACTTGAGCAATACAAGTCTTTCATGGGAAAGCCACTCCATTAGCAAGGGATAGCTTCAGCCAGCAGGCAAGCATTTGCCCTCTGTGCTGATGTTTCACTGCTCCCAACCTCCTTGTCAGCTCCTGGAGTCTCCGGCTGCCTCCCTATGTCCCTGAGGTGATGTTTCTAGGCAGGACCTCCCAGCCAGAGGTGGCTGGAGTCCTTTCCTCTTGATCTCACCACATGTGGCTGGCAAAGGAGCTGTCTCCTTCTGTTCTTCTCTTCTTTTTGTCAATCTTTCCTTTTACTCCCTTTAATTTTTCTTTTCTCTAAGATATAACAACTAAGATATACCTCCCCTCAAGGAGACCAAAGTTTGGAACAGTCAAGGTGTCTCTATTAAGCAGGCTGACAAGAGCTTCAGGCTCCCAACCCTGTAGAAATTGAGGACAAGGAAATCAGAAAGACAGGACCAGGTCTTCTGGGCAAGAAAGTGGCTGCCAGCCTCCAGCTTATACAGCTGTATCAGTGTCATAGTAAGCATCTCATACTTGAAAACATCATCTGTTGTCCAAGAAATATATGGAAATAAATAAATATATATGTTTTATTAATATAATAAAATTTTATATTTTATATAATGTTGTATAAATATTACATTTATTTATTTAATATTACAATATTTTATTATTGTATAAATTATACAATATTATATTTTATATAATAACGTATATATATACACACATATATGTATAAAAATATATGTATTTAACATATGTATTTATTTAATATATGTATATAAATATAAATATATATATTTATATACATACACACATATATTATAAATATATATAAATACAAAATATATATATTCAATATATATATACACACATAAATATAAATATATATATTTTTAGTGGAGGGGAGGGGCAAGATGGCCGACAGGTGCCAGCCTCCAACAGAAGCTCCCATCCAGAGGGAAGGATAATGTCCAGAAATTACCCAACAAAGTTGAAGACTAGAAGCTCAGCTGAGAGAGAAGAGTGAT